TGCAGCCTCTATGCCTCTTATTTCATCTCCTACTGCTCTCATCCTTTCTCTCTCTGCCCAAGCCGCATGGGCTGTCGTAGTTCTTCCTATGCACCAAGTACATTCACAGCTTGGGACATTTGTGCCATCTTTCTGTGTGGGACATTCTCCCTTCAGATAGCCTTATGACTTGCTCCCTTGCTCTGTTCGAATCTCTCCTCATTAGAGAGGCCCTCCTCAGCCATCCTGTCTAGGAGTGCAGTGCAAGAAAGTTCAAGCATAGCCATTGGCCCTTGCAAAAGTCCCTGTGGAGTGAGGAAGTGTAATTTTTTTCCTGAAGGATTGGGAGAACGCCTGTGTTCAGATCACAGATGGTGGGGGAAGCTGACACAAGGTGATGCTTAGGAGGAGGCAGGTGACAAATCACCTAGGGCTTTATCAACTGTGTTACGGACTTGGGTCTTTAGAAGAGCACACGGGATGCTGGGGGTGGGGTGGGAGGGGTGGATCACGGAAGGCTTCTCTGGTAGGGAACGGTAGTGTTGGATGAAAAAGTGGAGGTCAGAAGCCTTCAGGTGAGAGACGTTGTTTCAGGACAGGAGCAGAGGCCAAAACTAGCTTAGGATATGCCAGGATGTAAAAGCAGAGAATGTTGGTGGCAGAAATAAGACACATACCAGTTTTATGCTCAAGGAGCCGAGATGGACAAGAATAACCAACACAGAGCGGACTGTGAAGAGTTGTCACGTTAGGGGTGCACGCAACCCACACTCCAGTCAAACTATGCCATCACTGTCCCTACATCATGGGGCACACTTTCCATCTTCTGGGTCTTGCTCATCCCCTTCCCTTTGCATGAGATGCCATCCCCAGCGCCTCTGGCCATCCTTCTCATATGGTATCTTCTCCAAGAAACCTTTCCTGATCCCAACAACTAGAGGAGTTACTGTCCTCCTTGGAGCCTTTTTACCCTTTGTACTTGTAAAGTGGTACTGTCTGTTCCTCCTTTTGGCATACCTTCCCCCTGGTAAACTACTGCTTTTGAAAAATTTTTTAATTTTCGTGGGTACGTAGTAGGTGTATATACTTACAGGGTGCACTCATGTATTTTGATACAGGCATGTAATGTGTAGTAATCACATCAGGGTAAACAGGGTGTCCATCACTTCAAGCATTTATCCTTTGTATTACAAACAATCCAATTATACTCTTCTTCTTCTTTTTTTTTTTTTTTTTTTTTCTGAGATGGAGTCTTGCTCTGTCACCCAGGCTGGAGTGCAGTAACGTGATCTCTGCTCACTGCAACCTCTGCCTCCTGGGTTCAAGGGATTCTCTTGCTGGGAGAATCCTAGTAGCTGGGATTCTCTCCAGTAGCTGGGATTACAGGTGCCCGCCACCACACTCGGCTAATTTTTTTGTATTTTTATCAGAGACGGGGTTATTCACCGTGTTTGCCAGGCTGGTCTTGAACTCCTGACCTCAGGTGATCCGCCCGCCTCAGCCTCCCAAAGTGTTGGAATTACAGGCATGAGCCGTGGTGCCCAGCCGTGAGGAAATTTCTTAACCCAGATTCTTCATGTTGAGGTTTAACATATAGTGAAGATACTAATGAAGAAACTGGGAGGGGAATATAATACTGGAATGGAGTAGGACAGAGCCATGAAGTCCGTATTTCTTCAGGTTCTTGACAGAGAACTGCTCAGTGTAGGCTAGTGTAAGGATGGCCCTTCCTGGAAACAAAAGGGTAAATGACATGAAGCTTCAACACAGCCATGTAATTTCTTGTTGGCACCTAAGTGGTTTAAAAAGGAATTTAAATTTCACTATTACAGTGAGGGGTTTCCCTGGGTCATTGCTGAAGCATTGGATTTTGCTTTGCCCTTGTCTTCATTTGGAGTAAAGAGTGAGATTGCCTTCTGATGTCACTCAGGGATTCACAAAGTGCATCACATCACCATCTTTCCAGAAAGAGCTCTGAAACAGGTATCTTGCTGTGGACACTGAGTTTGGGAATTGACAAAGACTGGCATACTTGTTTGGCAGTCTTACATTTTTCCTTAATTTAGTTAGCACATACACTAGGAGCTTTCGTAATAATTCTCTGAAGAAAACATGAACTGCAGATCTACCTCCTCTAAGAGGTAGATGGTTGACTTATAAATGTAGTGTATTGTCACCCTGGGTACTATGTCACCAAATTAAACCAAGAATGGAGTAACAATAATGAGGAACTTCAGACTTAGAAGCACCATATTTTATTTATAATTCCCAAGGAACTCATCAGTTTGGAGCTGAAAAGTGGCTAGCGCTTAGGGAGGAAATCAGCTCCCCTGAGAAAACTTGAGTTTGAGCCTCCAGAAGCATAGGGGATCTGGTTTTCTCCTGTGACTAGTCCAGCAGTCACCAAGAGTCTTTTCTCTGTGGAGCACCATTCTGAAAGGCCACGTACCCCTCTGTCACATTTCTTATCCCTTCCCAACCTAATTTCAGAATTAAGCTAATCAGCATGAAAATTGTAATGGGCATTGTTCCCTGGAAATTTTGAACTACCGTGACTTTAAATTTTCAGATAGTAGTTACATAAGCACTTAAGAAACAGGTGGAAACTGACATATTGAAAGTCTGAGTGTAGAAGGGTTAGAAGGTTGGAAATATGAAAGCAGAGAAAGTGTATACTTTCCTCCTTGCATCTTTAGACATAATGCTGTTGGGAACTGGCCTTTACCCTCAGTGAGGCCTGATGAAGAAAAATTGTTTCTGCCACCTGTGCACGCATACCCAAGGCAGAAAGGACAGGGAGTGTCACTGTAAATTGGAAGTGTTTTTGGTGACAGTTGAGCGTCAGCTCTGACCTTACTGGCCTCCCCTGGAGCCTTGTTGAAGGAACACTGGTGCAAATCCTTGAGGGAACAGGGGCAGACTTCTCAAGTGAAGCAAGCAGAAGTGCCCGCTGGCCCTGAAAGGGTAGGCTGCACTGCTCCTCGGAAAGGAAAGTCCAGTGGGACCTCGCTGCTCTGCTCCCAGGTACCTGTGGCTCCACTCGACTTGGAGGGCATCTGAAGGGGGATGTGGGGTTATTGTGTCTGCTCTCTGTGTTCAAAAGCTTTTGATCTGAATGTGCTATTGTGTTTTTTTGTCTCTGGTTTGCCAGGGCCTGGGAGGAGTTTCATGGCCTGGTGAACAGCAGCGGCCGCTGATCGGACGCTCCCCCTCTGTCTCTCACACTCAGGGTAGGGCCTTGTCTATCTTCTCTGTAACCCTGTGACATACCTCTCATTCATAGGACCCCTCTTCCCATTTACCCCCAAACTTGCCACTGTCAACATTGAGCCTCAGAGAAAAACATAAGTCCTAAACCACGATTGTCATCCTCCCTGGGTCCCATGTCTCCTGGTGAACCCCTGAGCAGGCCACTTCACCTTATTATGCCCCTATTTTCTCATCTGAAAAGTGAGGCTCCATGGATGAAAAAGTCTCTGAGGTCTCTTTTGATGCTAACATTTCATGATGGTAAACGTGCCACAGATGCTTTTTCTTTTTTGCTCAAATGCCATTTTTAAGCCATCTGGCAATGTCCTATGACTAAAAGGGCATTTCCACAGGCCCCAACATGAGTTACGTGAGAGGTATGTCTCCTGTTTGCTGGTGTCATGTGTCAGTTGTGAGGAAACGGTAATATAAATTCAGGGTTTCCGCAATGTCAGTAGTGGGGCTGGATTTCAGGGCTGTGTGCGTAGCAGTTGTTCCAAGCTGTACTTTCACTAGACCAGCGCAACTGTACTAGCAGGGAGAGGCACTGAGATAACAAAGACTGAGGCAACTAAAGCATTGACTTTGGGAATATTTGTATTTCAGTTAAGAGAGTATCAAGTCCATGTTTGTCTCTGTAGCAGAGGGAGCTGGGTGAATCTATTCTGAATGAGAGGAATGGATGAAAGACCAATATCTGCATGTGCTGGAGATGACAGCCTTTTCCTGGACATCAAACTGTCCCTGCCACTAACATCCCTAAGAAATAGAGTATTTCTGAAATTGGAACAGAACATGTCAATTGTAATAGCTACCTCAGAATTCCCCCTTCCCAAGAAGGAGATGAGTGCTTTCCAGAAAAGGAGACCTGCATCCCTCACGTGGGCTGGAAGAGACAAGATGACACTCTGAGGGACAGCAGCAGGTGGCCAGGCCTGAGAGCTCGGGGGTGTAGGTGTGATATACAGATAAAACTAGTTGCAGAGTGCCTGCACACACAAGTGATGCCACCCATACCTTTTTTGTCTTGATAGTTTGATTTCTTTATTATAAATTCAGTCTTCTGGTGGTTCAAAATTTAAAAGGATTCTCTTTAAGATGTAGTCAACATTAGTGCCTGGTATCATGGCACATGTCTATTGTCCCAGCTACTTGGAGGCTGTAGTGGGAGGATCACTTGAGTCCAGAAGTTCAAGGCCAGCCTGGGCAACATAGTAAGACCCTGTTTCTAAATATATGTCTGTGTATTTGTGCATATATATAAGTGTCTGTATATATAGTCAACATGGAATTCCAAGAGGTCTGCTAGTATACACAAAGAGGGAGGAAAAAGGTACCAGCTCTAATAGTAGATAAATCATTGATTTGTAAGGTAAAAAATAGTAAATATTTGAAATAAGATATTAAGTTAAATTTTCAGAAGCCAGGTACTATAATGGAGCTATTTTTAAAATGCTATCATATTTAATTATTTCTAAGGTTTTTTTTTGGCTTTTAATATTTTTTTCAATCCTGTTTCTTCTGTAAGGCTTTTAATATTCTTAAATTTGGGTTGCTTGGCTGGGCGCAGTGGCTCACGCCTATAATCCCAGCACTTTGGGAGGCCAGGGCGGGTGGATCACGAGGTCAAGAGATCGAGACTATCCTGGCCAACATGGTGAAACCCCATCTCTACTAAAAATACAAAAATTAGCTGGGCGTGGTGGCACGCAC